TAAATCTGAAGTGAATCTTTGACCTATTTTGTGGAGGAAAACTCAAAACCAAAATGTTTTGTAAATTTTTATTTTTTAATAAAAAAATTTGCGAACTAATATAGTCGTTATATTTTAGTTTGCGAAAAATCAAATTGATTATAATGTTTGAAGGTACATAAATTGATGGGATACACTAGAGTAAATTAGTATGAACTTTCCTAACAAGTGTAATGTGTTGGTGACGAAACGGGATTGTAAATATTACCTCAATTGATCCTAGGAGCGTAGCGGCGTTGGTAGGGAGCCAGGAGGTAACTCCTTGAGGTATCATTTTTGAATTACATCCCAACTTAAATAGTGTGTGTGTTGTGCAGATAAATGGTGTGTGTGTTGTGCAGTCGATACATATATTTTAATAATATATATATATATATATATATATATATATATATATATATATATATATTACCTCAGCTACACTAGAGTAAATTAGCATAAAGTATTTATTTACATAGAGCTGGTCTCTACTACTGAACATAACGCGTAAGTAGTTGGAGAATTTGTCCCACTAAAACTCATTACCTCTTGCAAAAATTCTAGATTATTCACATCATATTCATAGACACACCCGAATGTGATTATTTATGCTTGTGATTAGATAAAATTAGTTATGTGATATTAGGGACTCAAAATTAGTCTTTCACATTCATTTCTTTGGAGTACCAATATCAATTTTCTAAAATTATTACACATGAAAATTTGATGTTTATTTTCTCAAATTCAATGTCATCAAAGTTGTAGTTCTCGTGGTTTTGTGGAGTCTAATTACGAGAATCATTTGGGAAGCGAAAAGTTTGTATGTTGGCTACTGGTTTTGGCTATTGCGAACATTGAACCAATTCAAGTGTAGCGTCAACTTTGGCTATTATCAACGTTGAACTAGTTCAGCCTCCCTAAATCGGTTCAGGTGGGGCAGTGAGTTGCAACACGTTTGGGCAACAAAGTTGAACCGGTTCATGAAGTGAGCTGAACCGGTTCAACTCTCTTGGGAACCGACGTGATTCAACTTCCTTATTAGTTTTGGACTCTACAAAAGACAATTTCTTATAGAACAATAAGTGTTCCATTGTTTATATATATATATATATATATATATAACCTAAAATCTGAATAGAGTTGATATATATATATATATATATATATATATCAACTCTATTCAGATTTTAGGGTGTGAAGAAAAAAGAGAGGATCAACATATGTGTTGTATAATTGATTAATTTGTATCAATATAAGAGAGTGTAATTAACAGAGATTGAGAGAAAATTCTCCATTATAATTCTTCATCTTTTTCATAGTGAATTTATTCAGTGCGCTCCGCGGACGTAGTCCTAAGATTTGAACTTGGATCCTCTAAGTTAAGTATTCTCTAAGTTATCCTAAGTTGAATTCCCTACCGATTGATACGTAACATTTAAAATCTATCTACTGCTGATGTTAAATCACGTCAACTAATTTAAAGAAAATTTAAAAATTGTACCGTTTTGAAATAAGAAAAATTTATCAAAGTTTAAAAACTACACCGTTTTGAATTAAGAAAAATTTACCATACTCTAACGATGTTTAACGTTGTTATCTTTCCCTCATCTTTTCCAAAAAAAAAACCCTCCCTCTCTCTCCTCTTTGTTCCAATCTTTAACAAGTGCCGATGGTCTCTGTCTCTTTTTAACCTCATGTTCTCTCTCATCATCCTTTCTATATATAGAGATTTTGGTTGTATTTTCTTTAACTCTATCAATATTCATGCTTATATATATATATATTCTTTTTCAATCATTACTATTGTAGTAAAAGTTGCATGTCTTGCAATCACATTTTCGTTCATGGCAAAGAACATTAATTTTTGGCATGAAATATTCCTCCAGTTGTGGGAATGAGCAAAAGTATAGAGATGGATGATTTTTTTTTGGAAAAGATGAGGGAGAGATAACGACGTTAAACATCGCTTTAGTATGATGAATTTTCTCAATTATTTTTAAATTATTTGACGTGATTTAACACCAATAGTAAATAGATTTTAAATGTCACGTATTAATCTGTAGCAAATTCAACTTATGATAATTTAGAGAATATTTAATTTAGAGGATCTAAATCCCTAAAGTTTGGGTAAACCATATATATCTTGTATTCTTGTGTATGAATTTTTTTCTTCATGATTGTTTGACTATTCCTCGAATAGTGTTTTTATTTTACATTTCCGCCACAACAACTGGTATCAAAATTTCCGATTAATTGTGTAGCAACTCCAACAGTACTCATATTTTCAACTTCTCGAAATAAAAGATTGAAACTTTGTTGGTACAGTGAAAATTAAAAGAAACAATAACATTAATTAAGAGAGAGAAAAAAAAAAAAAAAACAAAAAGTAATGCTATCGGGAGAGCGCTCTCGTGATAATACTAATGAGCTCATCCTTTTGAGATGACGGTGTTAACGACTTATTATTTTGTTTGAATGATAAAGGAAAAAAATAGTAAATATATTTGCAGAAAGAAAGATAAATAAACTATTTTAATAAATTTGTCACCATACCATTTTTTTTATGGAATTTGTCTTTTATAAACATAAGGACAAATTTGATGGTAACAAATTTCTCGTGATAATACTAATGAGCTCATCCTTTTGAGATGATGGTGTTAACGACTTATTATTTTGGTTGAATGATAAAGGAAAAAAATAGTAAATACATTTGAAGAAAGAAAGATAAATAAACTATTTTAATAAATTTATCACCATACCATTTTTTTTTATAGAATTTGTCTTTTATAAACATAAGGACAAATTTGATAGTAATAAATTTTTAAATGCTAGCATTTCCCAAAAAAAAGAAAAAAGAAAAAAAAGAAAACAACCCTCATCAAGCTTCAATTTACCCCCTTCAAATGTACATATATTTTAACATTTCCTTTCTTTTCTTTTTGTTCTATTTCTTTCTAATCAGATTGGGCTTAAAGTTCAAGTAATTAAATCACCCAAAAACAAAGGGTCTAGTACGTGTTTTGTTTTTGCGTTTTTATTTTTAACTCGAAACAAAATAAATATTTTGTTGTAAAGTGTTTTGAATAGTAATCGGAATTATGTTTTATAACATCCATTTGTTGTAAGATTTTTGAAAGCAAAAATATAAAAACATATTTGGTAAAATAATGATATAATGGAGAGTTTAAAAATGTCATTTAAAATTTTTTCAAATATATATCTATACATATAACTATTCATCGGTACCGGTTCCCATAGTGTTGCAACATGTAAAAATATCAAATAAGTGTTTTCATTTTTTTGCCACTACTCACAAAATGTTTCTGCAATATATATATATATATATTTTTATCAAACACGATTTTTCTAAAAACATTATTACAGTAGCCGACCAAAAACAAAAAACAAAACGCATATTAAATAGATCCAAAACGAGTGGAATATGTTATTCCTTAAAAAAGAATAAAAGAAAATTAAAGTCTTCTAAAATTCAGTCAATCATAAACTATTTTTTTCCTCTGAAATTAACAACGGCTTTAATTATAAAAATGGCTTGCCCTACCCATATATATTATAATCATTCATTAATTTTTTTCTATTATACATTTTATGCAAATGAAACCATCCCCACTCTCGTGGTTTATGGTATATTATTATACACAAGACAAGGGCAGGAAGCATGACATGACGCACAATTGATGAATAAAATATGGGCCATCAAAATTGGGTGAGTGTTAGGTGGGAATGCTCCAAAACCCCATCTTTTCCATTCCCTCCAATAAAAATTAAAAATTAAAATAAAAATAATAAGACAAATTGAAAGCCACGTGTCCAAATCAAACAAACACCCGAAATTGGAAGTCACCTCTCCTTCAATTGCCTCGGAAGCTTCCCAAGGAACGACTTTTTCAATTCCACATTTCCACCCACAAGACTCCACCGTGATAAAGTACATTGAAAATTTCCCTTCCATTTCCTTCCCCCTCCGAGACAAAAAAGCACCTTTTGTTGGATCCTCCAATTTCTCTCTTTCTTACGCGGACGGCGGTTCTACAACAAAGGTGGTGTTGAATACACAAAGAAAATTGTATCATTTATTATTGGGGAAAAAAACAAAGAAAATTATATCATTTATTATTAGAGAAAAAAGAAAAGAAAAGAAATAATTATAATTTGTATTCATATTTGAATATGTAAGAAAGAAAAGAAAAAAAATAATAGTATTTTTATTTGGATAAGATAAAAGAGATAAATGAAATGATATGATAATAACTAAATTACCATCACATCCTTTTAATTAGACAAGTTATGAACGAAATAATAATTTCCACCTTCTAATTGTTAATGATGGTTTTCGAATTATAAAATACTGTTTAATCCACCATCGTTTATTTCATAATCTTCTCATTTTTTAAACAGTATGAGATGAGGAATGAGCAGAGATAGTTATCCCTCATAATCCTTTCATTTATGTCATTTTAAACAATCTAAACACAATCTATGTTATTCTTTCATTTATTTTTTCTCACTATCCTTCCAAATTCCTTAATCAAAACGGAGACTTAATAGCGTATCCACATCTATACTATGAGTCATTTGACATCACCCGTGTTCTACTACTAAGGATTAGGGCTCTCAAACATGAGTGAATGTAAGAAGAGTTGGGCATACCATATTATTGGTCCGGTCAATAAAAATGTAACAAATCAGAATGTGATGGAAAAATTATTACATGGTTCACATAATAATTTATTGATATAAATGACTATTTTTATTAAAAAAAAATGATAAAAAGCCCCCTATTAGTATTTTTAGCGACTGATGTGCCATTAATCCATTAAAACATTTCTGAAAAAAATCAGTTTATCAGTACTCTTTTATTAAAGATGGCAGGACCAATTTCATTGGATAATAAATGTATTATGAATATTATTTTTTAATAGGCAAAGACCGCCCTCACTCTTCTCAAACACAAACACACATGTATGGAAGTGGACTAAAGCGGCCTCCTACCATTATAAATAATATACTGTTTCTAAAATTTTCTAGAACCCATATCACTTTCTTTGGTTGTGTCTTCTTCTCAATTTCCATTTCTTTCTCTTTTCATATATATATATATATATATATACACATAACAGTCCCTCACCAAACGACGAGAGAGAGAGAGAGAGACAGAACGAGATCCTAAAGGGAGTTATGGTTGTGTCCTTGTTGTGGGTATGCAGAGAAGAAACTAGCAATGGAAGAGAAATCTAAAATCACCAAGCTTCCAAACAGCGATCTGGTTCAATCTCTCTCGTGTCTCTCCGGTTTCTATTGCTGGGGTTGGGAATTCTTGACTGCCCTTTTGCTTTTTAGTTGTTGACTCCTTACCCACAAAAAAAAAAAAAGGGGAGAGGGAAAAGGGAAATCCAATTCCATCCCCAAAACAACAAAGCAGGGAAATCCAATTCTTTTCTCTCTGTTTTTGTTTTTGTTTCATATATTCACATACACATACGTATATACATATAGATAATTGGTAGTGATGACACAAAGGAGTGTTCCGGCGCCGTTTTTGACGAAAACATATGAATTGGTGGACGATAAGGGGACGGATGAGGTGATATCATGGAATGAAAATGGCACAAGTTTTGTGGTTTGGAAAACTGCAGAGTTTGCTAAGGATTTGCTGCCCAAGTACTTCAAGCACAACAATTTCTCTAGCTTTGTTCGTCAGCTTAACACCTATGTAAGTCTTCTTTTAATTACCTTCTTATATATATATATATATTGGAAATTAATTAATTTTTATTGGAGGATCAAGTTCAAATTTTCTATTGGAAATTAATTCATGTCCATTATGATAGATGTATTTTTGGAAATTAAATTATTTTATAGTAGTGATTTGCTTTACCTCTAGGAAAAAAAATGATCAATAATAAAAATAATAAATTATTTGTAAAGGAAAAGAAAATAATTGGTTTTTTTTCTTTGTAATATGGAAATTTACGAAGAAATGAATTATTCTTATTCCCTTATCATTCCTAAATTAAAGGGAAGTTTTCATTCTCTCTGTCTCATAATCTCTTATCTCTCCCAAAATAAAGGGAATATTCTTTCCTTTTTATCAAAAGACTCATACTATAAATTTCATCTGCATCTAAAGCCTTAAATTTTTTATTAAAAACAAAAAAAAACAAAAGAGAAATCTTTTGTTTTTTTTAACTTGAATGAAAACCACAAGGTTCAAGGTAATTTTTTTGTAATTTTTTTTTTTTTAGTGGAACGCACAATTTTTAAAATAGTATTCATTATCAATTTTTGTTCCTTACTAAATACAATAACATATATAATTGAAAAAAGAATTGTTGGTGCTTAAATAAAATAACACAATTATTTTTAAACAAATCATATTTTAAAATATAGTTGTTTAAGATATTTATTCTAATGATTCATGTGATTTACGAGTCATTGCATGTATATAAACTTGTGCATTATTGGAGTCTAAAAAGTCTAATGGACTAATAAATTGTTTTTTAAAAAATTAATAATAATAAATTACACTTCGTAATTAATTTTAAAAAATGTTTTTTATATGAAGCGGTAATTATGTTTAGTAGTAATACACAATTTTATAAATTTCTCACCTACTAAACGGAGTTTACGCGGGAACGAAAACGACTAATTTAAGATAGTTGATCCAAGAAGCAACGTGTAGTAGGTGAGGGGGCATATTGGTCTTTTCAAAGTGTCCACGTCGACCTTACATGTGCGACAAAGCTAGAATGTTCATTCCAGCCGGCTGGTCCATAGAGCTGTTCATCGTAGGGCCCACCTATAGGAAAAGTCTAGAATACCATCCCTCTCTCATCCAATCCAATCCATCTAATTGTGTGCGCGAATTTTAATGGGCCACCAAACACGGAAACGTACGCCTCATGAACTCCCATTCTGTCGCACTCACGGCCGAAAGTCCCTAATACAAACCCTACATCTTTTCTAATTTGACGGCGGAAAATATATTCATTAACATTAATTTTGATTAGAATTTCTCTAGAAGAAAAGTGAGAACCGCAACTACACGTGCTATGCATGCTTTCACATGAAGAAGGAAACACCAATGAGAAAATATATAATGCTATAGAATTATCCATTGGCTCTGAGCTTGTTCATCGTTCGAGTTCTACTTTCCCGTTTAACAATAGATCGAAAATATAATGGAAGAATAGTGATACTCACACTGACCGCTTACAGTAAATTGTCTAATTAAATAATTTTTAATTAATTATTTATATCAAATATAATAAAGTGAAAGGTTTCACTTTCTTATTTGTTACATAATTGACTAATTAAAATAGTAAGTCTAACAATTCATTACAACTATTTGTACAAGAATCATTTTTCTTAGTGAAATATGTGCCACGGTCGCCACTTTTTATCGAAAATATAGTGGAATGAACACGCATTCGAAAATAACATGGAAAATGCTACTCAAGTCAACAAATGAAGTTAAAACAGTAATTGCAGTCTGAATTGTTAGAAAGCATCCCTCTCATTGATATGTTTATGGATTGTCTAAGCATCTTTATTAGTATGTTTATGGATTGTCTAAGCATCTTTATTAGTATGTTCGTTCATTTAATTTTCGGTCTGATTAGATTGAGGAATTCGAAAAAATCTTAAAACTTTCTTATGCAGTGAACCAACAATTATCTTGATTTATCATTTATGTGGTTTCATAGATTTTGCGGCATTTGGCGTTCCATGCTTTCGCATTAGATGCTGCCATTTCCGCTCTCGTTTTATGTGACATACTTTTGCAATGATGTTGAGTAATTATACATATGCATTTAAGGGTAAAAATGTTACTGTTTGTATTCTTAAAAGAGGCTAGCTCAGCGCATAAGGTTTCCGTTACTGCGGAGCCAATTTGGGAAGGGTTAGATTGCGTAACTTTATCTCCACATAAAGAAGCTGTTTTCGGTTTCGAACTTGTGTCCTTTTAGCTAACCATGAAACAACCTTCAATTGTGGCATGACCCAAAGTAATAAGAGATATATATTTCCTTTTAATTTCTTAAGGTTACTAAGCATGTTAAAACACATATTACTCATAATTTATGATAGTCATAGTATTTGTAATGGCATTTGTTATTGATTTGTAATTGATTTTACTTCTCAAATTATACATGTTGAAATAGTATTTGTAATTGATTTTACTTCATTGAAATTTTACTAATTTGGTAGGCCATTCTTGTATATATATGTTTACATGTCTATGTATATACATAGTCGGGGAACTGATGAACTGTTTCTATTTCCAGGGCTTTCGAAAGGTTGTGCCTGACAAATGGGAATTCGCCAACAAGAATTTCAAGCGAGGAGAAAAAGAGCTCCTCACCGAGATCCGTCGCAGGAAAATTGTGACATCAATGCCCGGTGATATTCCGGAGACTGGAAAAACCTCTGGCGGCAGTGGTGGTCCATTGTCACCAACAAATTCCGGGAAGGACCCGGGGTCCAGCTCAACTTCGTCTCCGGACTCCAAGAACCCGGGCTCTGTGGACACACCGGTGCCTGCACATTTCGCTGATTTGTCTGATGAGAACGACAAGCTGAAGAAAGAGAATCAAATGCTGAGCTCGGAGCTAAGTCAGACGAAGAAACAATGCGACGAGCTCGTAGCCTTTCTGACCGGGAGCTTGAACGTGAGGCCTGATCAGATCAACCACATCATGAGGCAAGGAAGTAGCTGTGTATCCACCCATGATAAGTTAGTTAGTGAGCTTGGCGCCACTATTGATGATGATGACGAAAATGAGGGGGAGAATGAGCATTGTTTAAAGATTTTTGGGGTGTTGTTGAAAGGAGTGAAGAAAAAGAGGGGCCGTGATGAGAATATGAGTTTTGATGGGGCCCAAAGGAAAGAATTCAAGACGGTCGACTTTCGCGCGCGGTCGGTGAAGATCTCGACGAATGAGTGAATGACACGTCTCAGAAAAAGAAGCTGTATGGTAAGCATTGACATAGAGTAGTAGTAAATTACTAGTAGTAGATAAAAGAACACTTTATGCAACCCTAAGGTTGGTTTGTGAAGCAATTGAAAATAAAAATGTGTATGTGTTTTTTAGGTCAAAATGGTATATAGGTAAATTGAGTTGGAGATTAAAGAAAATGGTTCTCCAATATCTGTTCATCAATAAGTTACATTACACACAGTAAAGTTTGTGTAAACATTGTTAAATTTAGTTGCATATTCTCTATATTGGTCTTTTGTTATCACTCTGTGTTTTCCTCCTATATCTGCAAATTTAGTATTATTGTTTTAGATATACAAGGTCTCACATGAGATCTAGATGGTCAATCAATCTGTGCTCTTTTTTTTTTTTTTTCAATTATCATTTTATTTATTATTATTATTATTTGGTGTAGTGTGGTTGTGCAGCATGTTTTAAAATTACTAAATTATCATTTCAAATATATATATATATATATATATATATATTATTGAGAGGGAGATTTTTGAAAATTTAAAGGTATTTCAAGGGTTAAGTACACAAAACATTAGTATATGATTTCCATTTGTGCATAATGATTCCCTGATTTTAATTTGTGCAATGTCAAATCTTAATTTTGTAAAAAACCCTAGCAAACACTCAAAGCACTTTTCAATGACATGTGACATAAAATATTTATATTATTTCATTTTTGTCCTTTTAGCATGTAGAGAATGCACTTCTATTGATCTTCCTGGTGGCAATTTTTCATAAAAGAATTGGTCTCATATGTTATGTGGGGATGACTTGGAAATAAAAGTACTCACTCGTGAGCAGGTGATTCTTACGGACTGTTAATGTGAGCTAATCACAAATGCTTACATTAAATGGATTATCACTTCGTCCGTCTTTGTCAAATCCATTCTTACTTGGTCCGGCTCCGTCAAAACTATTGCTCTCTCCATCTCCATTGCTGACCCGAATTTGCTCCATATTATAGTTTTGAGGGACTGAGGAATTTTCCGATCTCGCTTGCAATGTACATCTTGTCAACATTTAGGAATCTTTGGGATTGATCTGCCGAAAAATATGGTGCAAACACGCAATCGTACATTCGTACGTGCATTCTTGCCTGAGATGCGTGCATGCAGCGCATGGACCACGTAACATATTTTTCCTTCAATTATGTAAAAAAATCAATTCAAGAAAAATAGCTAGGTGTAAAAAAAAAAAAAATTCGCAATTCATTATAAGTCAAAACCTAAGTCGTATAGGGCTCGAGAGCAAGAGTGATTGCCAGAGCAAGGGCGAAAATAATAAAATTTAAGTCAAATAAAATGAGAGTGAAAGCGTGAGAGCGGCACTAGTTTATAATTTTATCCACGAACCAAAATTAATCTTATATATTATTTTTTTTCTTTATAACACTTTATAATAATTTATATTAGGGATCATGAGAGGGTCAACGGTTTAAAAGAATTGTGCGATGTTAGAATATTTCTCAACTTTATCATGGTGTTTTATTCAAGATGGAGCTATGAAGAGCTTGAGGTGCAGCTATGGTGGAACAGGTGAAGACAAAGTCATTGATTGGGTGTCTACGTTTACACCGCCAAAGATTAATCGTTTAGTGGCTTTGAACTGATTCCCTTTGAATCGGGTAACTACGAGTTCTAGGAGACCAATCGATATGACTCCGTAGAGGGGCTTTTACTAAAACTCGAACAGTTTCTTAAAAACTCACTTCAAATATGAAAGTTTGAGAATTCAAAGATGCTCTTGTTATTCCCAACAAGATGGCTCGAAGTGTGGCATCGACTTTGGCTGCTACTAAAGTTAGGTTCAATTTTCTTTGAACTGAGTGAATTGCACAAAGTATATATGACAATAAAGTTGAACTGGTTCAACTCGAAAGTTTACATGAATTAATTTTTGGACTTGGAAAAAGACTGAATATTTAGAAAAGAAGTTGTGCCTTAAATCAAGTAGATAGTACTAACGTCAATGAAAATTTTGGTAGGATGATCTAGTTTTCATTAAAGAAATCGAATTTGTAGGTTGGGTAAAATTTTCTGTTTTTAGGTGGAAAGTAAAACCGTGAATGTTAAAGGGTTTGAATATAAACATGATTAATACCCAAGTGCTTGTTAATATATATATATATATATATATATATATATATATATATGTTGTAAAGTGTCACACCAGGGGAAAACTCCACCTATTTTTATTTTAAATGAAAATATTATAACAGATAAAAAAAGAATATACAGAAAAAGGGCTTAGCCCACAAGAAAGAAGCCCAAAACTGAACTACCCAAAAGGAAACCAAACAAAAGCCCAACCCATGCTAACTAATCGACCGTTGCTGCAACAGAAATTTGAAAAAGTCATTGGAGCAACAGGAAACAAGGCACAAAATTAAGAACTCTCTAAGACCATTGGGTTCTGCAGAATATATAGTTTAAGCACAGCTAATTCAAAGACAAATGGCCACAAATAGATGGGAAGCTAAAATTATGGGTATCAAACTATCAATTATATCACTGAAAGGAACATTTTTGGGATCTTAACCACACCCTCAAAACGTGGCCAACAAAACAATATTTACTCAATTCATCATCATGTTACTCTATTGCTGCTGCGGTGCACTTACTGATGCTGTTGCGGCCGAGCTTCCTCTGCTGTCAAGCATCTCCTTGATGATAATAGTGGCCCTGTTGCGGTGGGCCTGGCTGGATCTGCGCCATCTCCTCCTTGAGACTCAAGAACTCCAACTGGAGCACCTTCTCCTGTTCTTTGAGATTGCTAATGAGTTGGAGTTGGAGTTGCCTTCGCCTGCTGTTCCAGATTGTTAACGAGCTTCGTAGGGCCCAAAAACGGATCCTCCAGCCAAGCATTAGCTTCAAATACACGGGCATTTATAAAGGCCACACGCTGTGAGGGATGGAGTTCTCTGAGGGATTTCTCAATCAAGCTTACATCGAACAAGTCAGTGATGTTTGTGAATTTCTCTGGGTGGTCTGCAGGAAAGTGTGGTGCAAACACACACTCGGATGTGCATTCTTGGTGGAGGCTCTTGCATGCAGCGCATTGACCACGAAACATCTTTTCCTTTGATTCTGTAAAAATCAATTAAAAAAGATGAATAAATAAAATATTACATTCTAATCACTAACAAAAGTGCAAAGAGAAAATAGGAATTATAAGAATGGTGTACAAAAGAATATACAAATAGATTGCCTGCACTTTTAAAAGAATTCCAATAAAGGATGAACAAACACAAATACCATAGTAAATGAGTCTCAATTAATTATGTAAATCTACAAACTACATTTCAATTTTATGTTAGTGTTTAGGAAAGGAGAGAGAGAGAGAGAGGGGCGGGGGCGGGAGGGAAAACACCACCACCCCCCTTTTCTCAATCTCAGTTCACTTTTTGTTTCTCTGCACTGCCTCCATTTAGCCCCAAACACCACCACTCCTCTCCCATAACCACTGCAGCACCACCACTCCACTCCCATTCACCAACACCCCCAGCCAAACCCTAAATTGCCACCAACCCAACCCCCCTTTTCTCAATCTCAGTTCACTTCTTTTGTTTCTCTGCACCACCTCCATTTAGCCCCAAACACCACCACTCCTCTCCCATAACCACTGCCAGCACCACCACTCCACTCACATTCACCAACACCCCCAGCCGAACCCAAAATTGCCACCAACACCCCCCCCCCCCCCCCCCCCCCCCCCCTTTTCTCAATCTCAGTTCACTTCTTTTGTTTCTTTGCACCGCCTCCATTTAGCCCCAAACACCACCACTCCTCTCCCATAACCGCTGCCACCACCACCACTCCACTCCCAAACCACCGCCAATCACAACTACCCCCAGCCAAACCCAAAATAACCACCAACCCCACCCCCTTTTCTCAATCTCAGTTCACCTCTCTTGTTTCTCTGCACCGCCTCCATTTTCGCCACCATTACTACCATCACCACAAGATATATCAGTATCTTGCAAGTAAACATTAAGAATTTGGAGAAACTAAAACATTTAAAGACAGAAAAAATAATAATAATAAAGAAAGAAAGAAGAAGTGGACACACTGATCAACATATCATTTAGCATTCTAATTGCATAATTAATAACTCTCCTAAAGGACTACCACATACGCAGACAGAGGTTTCACAAGCTACATATCCAAATCAGAAGCATCAAAAAAAAAAAATCCCCATTCTTTCCACTTTGATTAGCAAATCAGAAGTATCAAATTTTACAGTCAAACGCATACATGTATGATTTATAAGTAAACAATATAAATGAAGAGAAAATTAATTTTTCAATAAAATTTCTGAAAAAAAAATGTACACTAGTAAAATATTATAAAAATTACGGGCTCTGTTATTGATCTGCATGTGTACACAGAAAATTAAGAAAAATAGTGGTGAAGGAAATAAGTGAAGAAATTGAATTTTTAGATGGACTAGGTCATACCCTAAAGGCATTCTCAAACTCTCTAAATTCCCTCTAAATGTTTGTGGACATGAATTAGGGTCTTTTAAAAAGAAGAAGAAAACAAATGGACAGGTCTCTGAAATGAGTCTGTATAATCAGGTCATAATTAATGGAAAATTCACTGTACAGAAAAGTGAGATGCAACGTATCAATATGACAATCCCGACGATACATGAGTGAGTATAAACAAGTATTATAAGTCTCATATCCTTAAAATTAAATTTAAAAAGATAAAAAACTATTTGCGCATTATATAATTAACAAAAATGTAGGGGAGAGACTAGCATTACAATGGTAAATAAAAATATACTTTAAAAGAATTCCAATAAAGGACGAAGCAAACACAAATACCATCTTACTCAAAAATGTTTCACACACAGGAACTCTAATTTTCACTCCCTAAATAACCCCCATACTACATTTCCTGCTCCACCATCACAACATAGTAGACAAGTCGCACATAATTTTCTTTTCTGAGTTATAAACAAACAACCATCAGTCATATGATGCACAAAATGCATTTTCGGTAAGACCATTGGAAAATGAAAAATTATTATTCACTTTGATTGCTGTAAAAATATACAAATTAGTCTTTGAACCATTGAAATTTCACAAGTAGAAAGAAATTTGAAAGAAAATGGGGGAAAAATAATAATAAACCAGCCACACAAAATGACTGCCTTTTGGCTTTAATGATCAAAACTAGCCATATTTTGGAATCAAAATAACATAATAAATTTAAAAATATATATCAAACATTCAATTTCCTTTCTCTTCAGAGTACTCTCAGCAACCAAATAGAGGTATTAGTAATGTCAAGCAACAGATCCAAATCAGAAGTATCAAACTATGATTAGGAAATCAGAAGAATCAAAACAACATAATAAATTAAAAGTGTATATATATATATATCAAATTTTCAATTTCATTCTCTTCGGAGTACTCTCAGCAACCAAATAGAGGTATTAATAAATGCAAGCAACAGATGCATCAAATTTTTTTTTTTTTTTTAATATTTTCCCACTATGATTAGCAAATCAGAAAATCAAACTTTACAGTCAAACACATACATGTATGATTTATAAATAGACAATAAAATCAAGAGGAAACTAAAATTTCAATAAAATTAAAACTACGTGCATTGTGGCTGTAGTTGAAGTTGATTAGCAATGACTCATTAGTTTCTGATTAAAAAGGAAAAAATAAAAAAGGCCAGAAAGAGATCTGAAACAGAGAGAGAAGAAACTCATCTATTTGTTGCCGATCCACAACACACAAAACAAGAAGAAAAAAAAAAAAAAAAAAAAAAAAAAAAAAAAAAAAAACAAAAAAACAAACGGAAGAGGAGGGGATAGAAGGGGGAAAAATTGAAAACAAAAAATCAGAGAAGCGCCAGTGGACTGAGAAGGAGGAGGAGAGAGAGAGCTTACGGAGTTAACAGTAAAAGCTTCAGTCCTTCGGTGCTTCGACTCCTTACCGAAAACCCAATTTCAAAACCCTAACTTTGCGATTGAGATTTTGATTTTTTGAGGAATGAGAGGATTTTAACTCTGCTTCGGTACGTCTGCATTACGCACGCGTTTTTCCGGATTGGGAGCGGGTTTAGGCAAGTCATCCAATGTGATGACCTCCACATGTGCCTTGTTTCCCACTTCACGCTTTGGGTTACAAATCTATGATAAGTAGAAAAATTTATATGCTACATTAGATATTTGTGAAAAACAAATATAACGATTTTCAAGTCTTCCTTCCACAATTGATTATTTTGCATCATCCAGATATTTGAGTCAAACATATAATCAAATTACTGAAAGAACTTCAAATTTTCTTTTTTTAAAGTTTCTTTCAATCAATCCATAGGTTTGATATCAATAGAAATTATTTTATGGATTGATCAATTGAAGCTCTTCATTACTTTGATCGAAGGCTTTAAAACTCCTATAAAGTAACTATGCGCATTGAGTATAAATATTGTAGACGATGGATAGTAAAATTCAAATTTTCCTGCATAACATGTCATTTTAACCAAGAAACATATAACAAAGGAGAAAATGATTTTCTTATATTTATGTGTAAAATGCAACCACCACCACCCCAAGCCAAACCCAAAATTGCCACCAAAACCACCCTTTTTTTCTCAATCTCAGCTTGCCTCTCTTGTTTCTCTGCACCACCTCCATTTGACACCATCACATTTCACACCTACATGGTACCTCACCGAGAGAGAGAGAGAGAGAGAGAGAGAGAGGGATATATTGAAAGTAAACATTAAGAATCTCGAGGAACTAAAACATTTAAAAAATAAAAAAAGAAAAAGAAAAAGTGGAGGAACAATTTACAAAATAACATGAAAGGGTGTTTCCGGTGTTGTGAAAAATACTTTGTACTGTTTTACAAAGCAAATCAATTTGATCAAAATGGAAACAATGCAGAATCGAAAATAAAATGGTGCTAATCTATTAATGAAATATAAATTAGAATTATGCTCTAAAAATCAAAACAGTAAGCCAAAACTTTGAGAAGTTGACATATTGAACAACATATCATTTACAAGTGGATCAACTTAACATTCTAATTGCATAATGAAGAACACTACTCAGAAGCACTCCTATAGGAACCATCGGCTGGAAACGTCGAATGTTAGCTTTTGCAGCTATGCTTATAATAACCTCATTTTGAGACAATGCAGAGCATTTGAAACAACACAGGGATTAATATATATATATATATATATAAGAGAAGAATAAGAAGAAGAGAACAGAAAGGGGGAAGAATGAATAAGTACAAAACCCAAGTAGAATACATAAACAATCAAAATAATGAAATATACAATCATATCAGCCAGGCAGTCAACTTTAAGAAGCTGAAGATTGAAGAAATTTGAATAGATTGATGCCATTGATGTTTGGATTTCACTGCACTGGATAATTAGGTAAGGAGGAGAAAAGGGGCAAAATTTGGGTTCGAATGAGAATTTGGAAAGTTTATACTATGTTTCTTCATTTCCATCACATATCCTCATAGGCTTATTAAAATAGTCTTGTTAGTCAAATATATGGATTCAGACCATATTTGCTTAATATACCATTCAAGCTGACACTTCATAACCCAGCCTAATTTAGGACAAAATATTCTAACATTGTCCAGGTCCAAATTTTAATGTTAGCTTGTTGTGTCGAATATTTTCACCCCTATTTAAACGAGAGAAAAAATCTAGCAATTTGGCAGGTGAAACGTAACACAAAGGAGGGCATCCATAAACTAACAAGTCAACACTCATAACTGACAATAAACAAGGATGACATGCATCAAAGCTGGTACATAAATCAATTTCCTAACAAGGGGTCCTTCGGCCAGCAATCTTCAACTCAAAAGGAGTACACAGAAACAACAATATATACTACAGGCATGGAAAACATTGCCCAACCACAACTAGCAATACATGAACATTCAAATCAACAAATCGGCAGCCACGCATTCCCACTCAATTCATAATTCTCATGCATGTAGAATTGAAAAGCCAATGCTATAAGCATTAGATGCAGGGTAATGCATAAATATATGAATACAAGCTTCACTATTCCTGTTGAAAAGCATGCAAATATCTGCGCCTGAAACCCTGCAAGCTATCCAACTCAGATCAATCTCATTGGTATCGACCAACTTCTATCTTCTAGACAACTAAACAAGTAAAGCTCCAAGCATTAAAGTGAATTTAGCTGTGAAAGCAACACTAATAAAGGATCAACATGTCAAATGTCAAAAAAAGGACAAAATTATAGTGAAAAGAAGGATAAAGATCAATAAACCGTTTATATGGAGGTATGCTAAAGTTAAATTAAGGGGAAGGAGGATAAAACCGGCATATTCCTATATAAGAGAAGATGTCCTTCCCTCCTTTTATTTGGTCAAAGGGAAGGGAAGAGGCTTTAAATATTATTGTACCGATATACCCATCATTATTTACATGAAAGTTAATAAATGAGAGTAATAATGTCCTCTCAATATCCAACAAATACTTTTATTTCTCACTGGTTTCCACCTAGTCTTAAAATGAAGCAAATTGGTGGCTAGGATGATGTCTCATCCAATCACTGTCCCTGCTTGAGTTCCATCTCCTTCTCCCCCTCTGTCTCCCTCTCCACGCTACCAAACAAAGGAAACTTGCTACATCCTCCTTGTTTCCCTCCCTACTCTCTTCCTTCCATCCTAACAGACATAGCATAAAAACCGAAGAGGTTAAAATTTTGGAGTGTGGCAGCCTATGGAGTTTAAAACTACCCAAACATGACGGGGCCTTTTCAGCTCAATCTTTAAATAATTTTCATCTCATTATTGAAACGACTCGCTGATCTTCACTGAATTTATCAAGAGGCAAGCCTAGAATGTATTGCCTCTGTCTGTTTTAAAACTGCCTACTTCTAAATACTTGTCGATTCAATTTTGTTTTGCAATTGCAAAGCAATTCAAGTAGCCAATGTACAAACTAGGCTAAATAAAGAAGTTCAAGTGCTCTTGAGCACTTCTACCAATCTAGTCTCTTGCTAGATGATGATTACTTTCAGGACATTATAGATAGACTTCTAACCCAAAATTACAGAGACTCATCAAATCAACAAATTTTATTTCCATTGCATAATTAACTCAACCTGAAGATAGAATATGAAGAAAATAATCATGTCACAATGTTGCCAAACAAATATAGTCATTTTTTGTGCAATAGAAAGAGTTTGAACTTTGCAAATCTAAATACATCATGGTTGTGCAAGCATATATCACATTATAATTTATCAATTTACTGTTCATAGGAACTATTTGTCTCACATACCGCAATGGAAGTTTGCACAGAACTTCAAAGTGGACTAGGATAGAAGAATCATTTAGCATCTTCAGGGTTACATGAGAGCTTTGCAATGCACCTATGATAAGCAGCACAATTAGAGCTCTCACTCCAATACTTCTCTGCGCACTGCATTATAGGGGGAAGATAGAGATATAAACCCAATGTAGCCAACAAGCTTCATATATAAAAACAAGGCAATATATATATATATATATTAAAAAAAGAAGAAAAAAGAAAGCCATTGAACTAAACTGCCAGAAAAAATTATAGTTATCAGTGGGAAGCACCCACAAAGTAAGGAACAGTATGTTTTAATTAGTTTTGATGCCCTCATAAAAAAAATGGAAATGATGGAACCCTTGAGATAGTAAGCTGTAAGTGTTTAAAAAATAATAAAATGATAGATAGAAAGAAATGTGTGTGTGTATATATATATATATAGAGAGAGAGAGAGAGAGAAGGGGGGAGAGAGATCGGTGCAGAGGGAGGAATATACCAGTCTACAGTGTTCCAACCATCTGTAGATTCCTCCAAAATGCCAAGAGAGCTAAACAAAAAAGGAGAATGGAAAAAAAAAAAAAAAATAGGAGGGGAAAAAAAAATCACAGTTCTTGTTACAGGCAAATTAGTTGTGCATGTGTGTTACTCGGGTAAGGTTAATTGCAATTTATGCACATATAAACCAAATTGTTCCTCATCATAATTAGAATGAGTGCATAAGTAAATCATAATTTTGGTTTACTAATCCATGTTTACTTTATTTATTGTGATTTATTACTTGCTGGGAGATGTTAAACTATGACATATTATTTTTCCATCTTATGTGATTAAAATCACCAAAGCCAATTAAAAAGGAAGGGATGGGATGGAACCGCATGGGAAGGATGGTTTGTACTTTGTAGTCTTTGGACCAATTCAGTTGTGGAGTTTGACAACAGAAGAGGTAATGTATTAAACTGGTTTAGACTATCCTTATTCAACTTCTCTTTTTAACATATATTAAATCTTTGTAACTTACTTGATCAGTCACTATGATTATCATTTGTGCAATATATTACTTTACTAGTCATGTTTGGCTTGAATATTGCTAATGAATGGATTACCAATCTCCTGAAGATACTGTCATAACTAATTGCAATAATTTGTTGAAGAATTCTCATTAAGTTAGAATCAAAATAGTTCCAACCCCAGTTAATTGTATTCCTAGCTTAACACATGCAGTGCCACTCAACTTGGAATGGCAATTCCTACTAAATCTCCACGCAGTAAAATAAATAAATAAATAAACAAATAACCCATAAAGAGTAGATATACAATGAAGCAAACCAAGAGCATCAACACATCTCACATTCTGAAAAATGGGCAAGAATATATCATACCATCACATAAAACAAAATTTCACATCTAATTAAAAAAAATTCGTAATTTGATACATTTCTGCAATTGTAAATATTCACAAAGACAAACCAACAATTTGGAACAATTACACGAATCAACTTAATCATATGCACAAATTCACTTGGAAATTTTCTACAAAAACTCCTATACAGTCTTGTTGTATGTAGTATTAGCATTCTTCTTCTTCCTTTTTCTTTTTCTTTTCTTTTTCTTTTTGTTGCTGAAGAAAGTTAGAATCAGTCCATTGGTCTGATATAAGCAACAATGACAGTGATGTCGTCAACTTTACCTCCCATGTGTTCCATTCCTGCCTCTTCAGCAGCTATTTCGAATGGACTAGAACTTAATTTGTCTAAAGAACAACTGTGAGCAAACCATGCTAGAGACCAAGCTAATTGTTGTGGGGTGTACTTTTCTTCCACACCATGTTTCACCAATTCTTCAATTTCACTTGTATGCATATTGTCAAACAACCCATCGCTTCCAGCAACAATGACATCTTCAAGTTTTACTGAATAAGTGAGCTCCTGTGGACCAAATATTTATAATTAGTACCAAATCAAAATGTTAAAATTAAAAGAACTATATATGTTATACATGCAACTAGTATTCTAATGACTGGGGGACAATCCCAATTTGACCAAGTATTAATGTTAAGCATAGATAACAATGGATTCATAATAGCACTAACCTGCGCTGAGCTGGGGGAATCACTGCTCTTTCCAAGCTGATATGGGCAGTTAAATCTACGTTGCTGCACTGGTGATTGGTATACAACTTCACCCTCTCTTAGCAGCAAAAATCCACTATCTCCAATGTTAGCAGCATGCAATTTCTGCAATAATTAAAATCAAAGATTGCAAATTAGTTAAAAATATATCCTTTTGCCTTGAAGAATAAAAAGAAAGCATATATGTATATATAACAAGGAACAGGAAGGAGCAAAAGGATGGATGACATACATTGCCTGTGAGGGTGATAATGCACGCAGTGGAGGATCCTTTGAGGTTAGTTTTTAAGAAAGCTTCATTCAAGACACCCTTTGGATCAATAGGTCCTTCGGTTTGATCATAAATTGCTGTCATAGTATTATCCATTAATTGTCGCGCATAATCGCCTGCATCCACACCCTTCTTGCTCCAACCACCAACTCCATCTGCAACTCCTATGGTATTCTGCTCTGAACAAATGAAATGATCATCCTGCCCTGGAGGAGTCAGGTGCTTGGGTATGTAAAATGATCCAGCATCCATCTTCATTTTCATTTTTCTTTTGTAAGCAATAACACTAAATAAGAAAAATATAAAAAAAATATTGAATTAAGTTAGTGTTTAAAATAGAAAAAAGGAGAGACATCCAGTTAGAGTTTTGGAAAATTAAACTATACCAAAATATCACTGATATGCCTACTTTGAATGATGAAAAACCTAAACTTTCCTTAAGCAAAAATAATAATAAAAACAATTAGCCAGAATGGACTACCAGAGCAATTTGTTAGAAAATTTCAAATTATACAAATTTATAATCACATACCAAATATTGCAGGGATTGTTTTTACAAATTAATGTATGATGGAAGATTGATAGAAGAGGGAGAGAGAGAGAAAAAAAAAATTATTTCAAGAAGTGAATTAACTTCAGACTCTGGAATGATTTGCATACCTAAATTAAACCACACCGAATCATTTAAACCCATTCCGGTTGAAGGGTTAAATAAATTTAATTGAATCAGGTTATACTGAGGGATCTTTGGCAAAATTGTAGATCGATAACAACAATTCTCAAGTATTGTGAAGGGGAAGGGACTGTACCTTTGCGAAAGGTTTTATGTATGGATGTAGTTCTTGAGCAGATTTTCTGTTCTTGAGTACTGTTGAGTCAGACGAAGAGGTTGCTTTCGGACGCCGACGACGACGAGAGAAGACTCGGGCGCTTGCGTTCCGACTAAGAGAAGGAGACTCCAGCGCAAGACACAATCGAATAGTAAAATGGTGAGTGCGACGAAGAGCAGGAGAGAAGACTCCGGTTAGACAAAATGGTGAGTCCGGCGAAGACGAAGAAAACGGCGAGGTAGGAGGCGGTTTCCTTATGCGATGAAAGAGTAACTGTGTGTGTGGTAATATTTTCCTAACCCTAGAGGCGGGTTAACTTAAGATGTAGGCGGTTTCCTTACGCAACGAGAGAGTAAATGCGTGTGGTAATATTTTCCTAAAAGGCTAAACCTATAGGCGGCTTGGATGCAGAGCCACTCTTAAACCCTAGTTTCTTTTTAGGTATATTCCATTAAGTAACTAATTTGATAATAGAAATAAAAATTAAATTAAATTAAATTATTTTTTAAAAATACCCATAACTTCAACTTCATATTTTTATAATTATAATTTTAAAATTATTATTTATAAATACCCATAACTTCAACTTCATATTTTTTATAATTATAATTTTTGTTTCATATCTTAAAACAAAGTTAAATTCGAGAATTTTAATGACATCATTTCAATTCTAAAAACTACATTTTGAGTTAATTAATATAAAATTAATAGAGTTTTCTTTTTTATCAAGAGTTTCTTTAAAAGACTATTACTCTTAATACCTCTATACAAAGAGTATTGCAATATTTGTTGTGTTATCAACCCAACTAATTATATGTATTTTTATGACGTTATTGAATTTATATAATTTTTAACTTTTAATCAATATTTTAATAATTCAAATATTCGATTAAGTACTTATAAATTATTATGAACTGGGATGCTAACATTTCCTTAAGGAAGTGTGTTAATACCAACAAGAAATTTTTTTTAATGATAAGCTTGCATGGAAATTAGGAGTTCTAATTTTCATGAAACATTAACGATAAGAAAATTTATTTTATAAGACAGGAGTAGGGCTGCAAATGAGCCGAGCCGAGCTGAGCTTTAGACTGTTCAGGTTCGGCTCGTTTGTTTATGGGATCAGCTCGGGCTCGGGCTCGGCTCGTGACGAGCTCAAAAATTTGAGCTCGGTCTCGGGCTCGTCTTAATTTTAAAAGCTCGGGCTCGGCTCGTTTAACTAGAAATTCTGTCTTGACAAGGTAAACAGCTATTTTAGGGAATCCTCGTGAAATACTAAATTGTAGCTCTTCGAATTTCCTTTCAACCTTCACGAGAATTTAGCCTTTTTGATGCTCGAGGAGAGAGATACAGCCAGATTACCAAAATGGGTTCAAATTACCAACTTTGGCGAAAGTTTCCTTTTTGGATAATGATTTTTCCTTTTCTTCTTTTTTCCATTCTCATCAACTTGTGGCTTCTTTTAGACTATTTTCTTTGTATAATTAGACTTGGTTCGTCAACATTGCACAGTATCACGGAATGTCATCTTTTAAAGTTCAGAATTGTCTTAACTGATTTTACAATTAAAGCCTTGAAATAAATAAAAATAATAAAATAATGTAAAATCACAGATAAACTATTATTAAGAGAATAAAATATGCAAGTAAAGGGGTTAAAATGTATAACATTCAGTGCCTAACAAACATTAATCTCTCTCTCTCTCATTATTTGTTTGTCTTTTCTCTTCTTCAAATGAATCAATCTATCGATTTTATTCTATTCTTCCTTACTAATTTTTCATTATTATTGCAACACTTTTCAAACGAACATCCGATATATTGGTAGTATTATTATGTATACCTATACCTATATATATATATATATATATATATATATAATGTGATTTGATATTGATCTCTGAATCACTGAAAGTTCATAGCCTTAAGGAATGGAAAGGAAAAGAAAAAAAGAGAGAGTTAGAGCAGGGATAAAGAAACTATAAAGAGAATATTACTCCCAAATGTCAATACATTGACATATATATTCTAATCTACATAGATTTCCCATGACATACATATATATATATATATATATAGTTGTGTTTTACTACGTTCTCATAGTTTTCATGGCCACTGCGTTCCCCATCCTTACCAACAATTCCCATTTAGATTTTTTTCCCATTCCATCCCATATTTATATCCCTTACAAGGATAAAGCTCAGTCAAGTAACAATTGTTGTTATTATTTGTTTTTTGCCCAGTAGCACAGATGGTTGGTAGGATGAGCCTCCAAGCTTTGAACGAATCATATCTAGCACTTGGGTGTGGGTTCGATTCCCCACCACTTTGCAAGTTCCTGATTTAAAATGCTACACAGATTATGGGACCGGGTCGGATGTAATAATAATAAATAACAATTGTTGCTGGGCCTTTCATTAAATTTATATGCATCATTTACATCTCACTTTTATCAATTACTTATTTTTTTGGGCTTTCAATATTAATTGCATGCAGCTAGGAGTCTTCCAGTTAGAACAATGAACACAATGTAGAGGGGAAGAAATATTGGGTTTGATGTGTGAAAAAGAAGTGTTTCTTGTTTCTTGTGATCTTTTGAATTGTTATAAGGGTAAAGTGCAAAAAAAATCTCCTTAAATTATGTTTGAATTTGCAAATAACTCCCTTGAACAATATTTTGTGCATAAAACCCCCTAAACTATCTCATTTTGTTGCAACATACCCCAAGGACTATACTATATTTCATTAAATGACTACAATGCCCATTCTTATTAAATTACATTTAATATATTTTTTTTATCTAAATAAATTATGAAAAAATTCATACTAATTTGATGAGATATTTTCCATTAAATTTGCATAAATTTGCCTCTGAATTTTTTAATTAATTATTTTTTAAAAAAAAAATTAGTATAATTTTTTTTAAAAAATTAATTAATTTTTAATTAATATATTACATGAAAAGAAGGTATTTTTTTTTTCAAAAGTATTTTATTAATTTTTCATCAATATATTGTATGAAAAAATGATATTTTTTTAAGATAAAAATGTTTAAATTGGTTATAATACGTTTTATTATAAGTAATAAAGTTTTAATAATAAGTTAATCAATTTATAAAATGGTAGTTACAAATCTATTTATCTATTTTTTTTTCATTTTTATGATAAATTGATACTAAAAATAAAATTAAGGTAAATAGTGTAATTAATATTTACTTATAAAAAAAAAAAAATAGCGTAATTAATATTTACATAAGAGAAAAGATAATAAAAATAATTTAATAAGAAATGAAGATTTTAATGAGAAAGGGTAAAATAGTTTTTGTGATGGATTTGTCCTTAATTGCAACAAATAAATAGTTCAGGGGACGGTTTTTAGTTCAGGGGGGTTATTTGCAAAATGGTAATAGTTTAAGGGGTTTTTTTTGCACTTAACCCTTGTTATAATTTATTTTCTTAGTTTCGGTTCATTATTTATTTATTTTAGCACCTTAGAGTTTTCGGGATGATGATACATGTAAAAAAAATAGCAGACATATAACAAGTGTTGATTTAGATGATAAAATTCAAGGCACAAAAAATAAAATTCAGATGATCAAATTTAAGAAAAAAGAAAAATGGAAAAAGTCTAAACAAAAAGTCTCAAAAACTTTTCGTTAACATATTAAATAGGGTAAAGTGCAAAAAACCCCTTGAACTATATTTGAACTTGCAAATAACTCGCTTAAACTATATTTTGTACATAAAATCCTCTAAATTATCTCATTTTGTTGCAACATACCCTAAGCACTATACTATATTTCATTAAATGGTCATAATGCCCCTTCTTATTGAATTAAATTTAATATATTTTTCTTGACTAAATAAATTATGAAAAAATTCATACTGATTTGATGAGATATTTTTCATTAAATTTGCATAAATTTATCTTTAATTTATTTAATTAAAAAATTAATTAATTTTTAAATTTTTAATGATTATATTACATGAAAAGAAGGTATTTTTTTCAAAAGAATTTTATTAATATTTCATCAATATATTGTATGAAAAAATGATATTTTTTAACAATAAAAATGTTTAAATTGATTATAATAAGTTTTATTATAAATAATAAAGTTTTAATAATAAGTTAATCAATTTAGAAAATAATAGTTACAAATCTATTTATCTATTTTTTTTTTCATTTTTATGTTAAATTGACACTAAAAATAAAATTAAGGTAAATAGTATAATTATTATTTATATAAGAGAAAAGATAATTAAAATAATTTAATAAGAAATGAAAATTTTAATGAGAAATAGTAAAATAGTCTTTTGTGATTGATTTGTCCTAAATTGCAACAAATTAATAGTTCAGGAGAGCCATTTTTAGCAGGGAAGTTGTTTACAAAAGAGTAATAGTTTAGGGGGATTTTTTGTACTTAATCCTATTAAATATTTTAAAAACTTGGAAACGCAATTGGAAAGGGAGAGCAGTACGTAGAAGAGGAAGAAGAAATGGGTTTGCAATCAACCTAATGAAAAATGGTTTTATTTTTTATTTTATTTTATTTTTTTTTTATTTATTTACAGCCAAAGGTGTATAACAGTCATATTAAAGGACAATATTAAAATTTTAGAAATGACAAGTCACATGTTTCGAAAGGAGTTGGCAGGAGGAGATCACGTGTAATATTCATATTAATTTCATCCATCTTAATATATATATATATATATATATATATATTGATGACAAGAATATTAGGGGTTAGTAATTAAATAGGATGTAGAGGGTATATATATATATATATATTGATGACAAGAATATTAGGGGTTAGTAGTTAAATAGGATGTAGAGGGTATATATATATATATATATATATATTGATGACAAGAATATTAGGGGTTAGTAGTTAAATAGGATGTAGAGGGTATAAAGTTCGAACACTGAGAACAATATAACTATTTGGATAATACGGCACCTGTGCGATCCATTTTTTCTCAATTTAAAAATACTATATAAATTAGGTTATTTTAATTTAATTTTTAATTACAACACTTTTTTTGTAAGTCACACATAACCTTATCGGAGAAATCTCTAAGATGCTGCTACACTAGTTTAGATAAGAAGATTATAAAAACCAGAAAAATTAGTATAAATTATTAAAAAAAATATAATATCCAAAGTCTGGTCAATAAATTTCAGATCCAAAATAGATTATAAAAACCTGAAAAAATAGCACATATATATATATATATATATATATATATATATATTGATGACAAGAATATTAGGGGTTAGTAGTTAAATAGGATGTAGAGGGTATATATATATATATATATATATATATATTGATGACAAGAATATTAGGGGTTAGTAGTTAAATAG